TTATCCAACAATTCCTGAAAGAAATGAAACATTAAAAACTATTAAAGCTACCTTATTACAAACAAGAACTTATTAGCATATATCTGTCTGCCATTTATCCAAACCACTAGGTCAGGCTGTTACCACTAGCTTCCTCATCAGACTTGAAAAGTAGTGGCCCACAGTTTCTAAAAGCAAGGCTCAACTGTACCAAACAGAGGTACATGTAGGAAATATAATGAGGTTTAGAAACTTACCATTTGAAAGCAGTTTTGTATCACCTAAATCTAAAGTCTATTTTAGTGGTGTTGGGGGGGCAAACCCAGGGCTAAATCCAAGCTAGGCGAGAGTTCTATAGCTCACTGAGCTACATACCCAGCTCTGAATCTAAATACTTTAAAAACTGGGTTTATCTTTTTATTTTAGGAAAGAGTTTCAGTGTGTAGCCCAGACATACAATCTCCTACTTCAGCCACCCTGCCCACAGTTCTTTTATCCTGTATTTTGTACATGGTTCTTAAAAAATGAATTTCTAGAGGTACGAAGTTACCAAAGAAAAATATGATAAGTAGCTTTAGATGTTATTTAAAAACTCTTTGAACTAAAAAATATTATGGAGTACAATGAAATTGTCATAGAAATTCTAAAGTGTTAATACCTACCTGATATTTTGTTTGGAGACTAAAACCAATCAACAAGCCAAAGCCCAGAACAGTTGTTCGATACTTTTGGCTACTTCTGCTTAGCAAACATGATTTTGAGAAGCACTACTCCAGAAAATTAATGCAAAGTGAACTATGCAAAGAACATGTTTGCTTGTTTGCATTCTGGGAAAATGTTTACATTTTGGAAAAATTCCAGATGCTATCAATCAGTAAGATATTTTTTTTAAAAATACCACGTATGCCAGGTGCTGGTGGCTCACACCTGTAATCCTAGCTACCCAGGAGGCCGAGATCTGAGAATCATGGTTCAAAGCCAGCCCAGGCAGTAAAGTCCATAAGGCTTTTATCTCCAATTAATCACCAGAAAACCAGAAGTAGCACTTGGTTCAAAGTGGTAGAGTACTAGTCTTGAGCCGAAGAGCTCAGGGACTTGCCAGGCCCAGAGTTCAAGCCTCAAAATCAACAACAACAAAATACCAAATTAGCCCAAAAAGACTATTTCAAATGTACTTATATTACTGAAGAACAAAAATTTAGACATAAATAATAAAAGTTTAGAAAAGGTGGTTCGAATACCCAAGAACATCCTTGTCTGCGTAATTTAAAATTGCCTAAACACAATATTATCATTTTATCCCTTAGTTATTTTCATGGTAATAAATAGAAACATTTAAAATCATTAATGTCATTCTTTTTGGGCTGTACTTGGTTTGAACTTAGAAGTCACACTAGCTAGTCAGTGCTCTACTGCTAAGCCATGCTTTCAATCCTAGTATCAGATATTTTCAATATTTTTAAACATCTGAGACTGGACTAAGTTAAACCCTTTATTTATACATATATATGAATCCACTAGACAGTTGATTGTCTTTGCATTTTTTTAATGTTGCTGAATTTAGAACTGTAAGACACAGAATCCAAGAATGATGAATGTCCTCTGATATACATTTTAAAGCAAAACTGTTCACACAGATGGAAGCAAACTCTATGACATGGAATTCGTGATCAGCTATATTACAGTAGAACTCAAACTCTAGTTGCAAAACTCAATCAAACAGGCTGGGAAGGTAGCTCAGTGGTAGAGTGCTTGCCTTGCATGCATGAGGTCCTGGGTTTGATTCCTCAGCACCACATAAGCAGAAAAAGCCAGTGGCTCAAGTGGTAGAGCACTAGCCTTGAGCTGAAGAGCTGAGGAACATCACCCAGGCCGAGTTCAGGCCTCATGACTGACAAAACAAAACAAAAGCCTCAATCAAACCCTAATTACTTTGTATTCCCCTCAAAGTTCAATTTTCCCCAAACCTCTACAAATTGTAGCAAAGTAGGACCCCAGACTGCCTCCATCTGGGACTGCGGTCCCAGTATGATTTTTTTTTTTTTTTGGTCGGTCGTGGGGCTTGAACTCTGGGCCTGGGCGCTGTCCCTCAGCTCTTCATCTCAAGGCGAGCACTCTACCACTTGAGCTACAGCGCCACTTCCGGTTTTCTTCTTTTTGCTTATGTGGTGCTGAGGAATCGAACCCAGGGCCTCAGGCATGCAAGGCAAGCGCTCTACCACTGAGCCAACTTCCAAGCCCCTATGGCTGCATTTCTTTTCCTTTGGAAAAGGTCTCACACTATGTAGCCCTAAGGCTCACCACTAAGGCTGACCCTGCCTCAGCCTCCCAAGTGCTGTGCTTTCATTTTTGAGAACATGAGCAACATTCATTTTCTGATACACAAACTCCAAAATAATTTTTTGAGTTACAGAGAGCCTAGAGATGACAGACATGGTCATAAATGTTCCATGAATCCCATATTAAGGTCTGAATCTGAAATGTCTCTTGTGGGCTCAAAGGCTTGGTTAACAACCGGATCCTAAGGGCTCTGGGATAATCAACAGATACTCATTCCCTTGATGGGTTCACAGAAAGCAGGCGTTATCAGAGCATGGTAGAAACTAGGAGGCAGCTGGAGGAAGTAAGTCACTGGGGCATGCCTGGAGAGATACACCTTGTCCCCACAGCCCTTCCCCTGCCTCTGCTTTGACTGCCACGCACAGCTCTGCTCTATCTAACGCCTTCTCTACCACCGTGTCAAGCCTTGTCTCAGACCTACAGCAATGCAGCAGTCAACCTAGACAGAAACCTCAGAAAGGAGCAAAAATAAACCCTGCAAGCTCTTTCTGTCAGTATACCGTCAAAATGACAAACACCTGGCTAACATTCCTGCTCCTTGTTATGGATTTTAACTTTACTCAGGAAGTCAGATGTACTTACGTTTTCGATCATCACCACATGCAACTTCAGCAAGGTACCGGAAATAATCTCCCTTCATTTTCAGATAGAAGACCTTACTCTCTGGATTAGTTGCATTGGCTATTAAATATTTATC